AACAAAAGCACTATCTGAAGCAACGCTGTTCTTATTTTAGCACTTTCATGTTTTTCAAAGCGAGTTCCTTTTCCCTGCGAGTTGTAAGCTATTCCTGCCAGCATCTTTGCGAGGCAGATGGAGAAGCACAGCCCCACTTTAGAGAGACAAAGATCACTGCTCTGGGTCATGGGAAATGATCACTGTGAGAGACAGGCATCTTCAGAAATTGTGACTACAGCTCCCCCACCCCTTAACTTGTGGAGTCCCAGAAGTGGGACATGGCCTCAGAATTGCCCCTCCCCCAGTGTATCTTGGACCTTCAGATGCCTAAGGCTTTCTCTTCATTCACTACGACAATGCAGGTTTTCCTCTTTCTGCCTTCAAGTTAGATGTTTTTTAAGAAATTCATCTTTTGTCCTCACATATTTTTATTGATTTTTTTCTTTATTGGGGAAAAGTGTGTTTTTCCAGGACGCATTAGCTCTAAGTCAAGTAGTTGTTTCAATCCAGTGGTGGAGGGCACAGCTCAGTGGCCCATGTGGGGATCGAACTGGCAATCTTGGTGTTATGAGCACTGAGCTCTAACCAACTGAGCTAACCGGCCGCCCTTGTCCTCATATTTTTAACATATTGTCCCAATTTCCTAAGGCATTGTTGTAGGGACCATTGATGGGCAGGTTTTCTAAGTGTCAGAGATGACGAAGGAGTGTCCAAGCATCTCTTCTAGGTTCGGTCCAGAGTCCAAACGAGGAGCGAAAGCTTGTCCATCCCTCAGTAGCATTGTCGGGCAGCGGGGGCGGGGAGGTGAGGCGGGAGGAGCAAAGCATTGGGGGAAATGCTGACATACAGGTTTAAGGTTTAAAGGCAAAGAAAATGCAGCTTGAATTTTTCTCCCCCCAAAATAGGAACCATTCATCCTCTTCACATGTGTGGGTTGAAAAATAAAATCAAAAGGCTTTACAAAGGATAGTAGATGTTCCCTTGGTGTTCGCCTGATACATAAGCCTGATTCTCCAGCTTTCCCATTGGTGCTGTAAGTTAATCAGCTTCCTCCCAGTAAATTCCTTTCCTGCTTAAATTGGCCAGAATCAGTTTCTCTTGTTTGTTACCGTGGTACCTGATTGCTCGATTGATGTCAGGATTAGGGTGACCAGATGGACCATTTTGAGTCTTAAAAACCACGACAGCATTCTTGTATGTTTTCTCCCCCAAGCGTCCCCAAAGGCAGCAGCCTCTCCCCCTTTTCCATGAGACTATCTATGGCAAGCACCAGTGCCCCTCCTGCCCAGGTGGGCTTTGTTCGTGGCCTACTTATGATTTGCTGCCAGTGCTGGTCCTGTGCACACAGAGCTTGTCATTCATTACGCCCATGTTCTGTGTGTCCCACTGAGCCATGCCTTCCCATTGTCCGCCACCCCTGGGCGGATAAAAGCTAGACGCATATCTCCTTTTTGTCTGATTTGCCTCATCTTCCAGAGACCTGGCATGAGCTCGCATCTAGCCGGCTTACCTGCTGTTCCAAAGGGACCAAAGCCATACTGGGAGGTCAGCCTCCACCCTGCAGGACAGAGCTACTTTGGCAATTGACCTGGTTCACTCAGGTGGGTCAGATCTCTGGGATGGACCAGCCATTCGCATAGAGAAAACTCCTGTGAGAAAGCGTCCGTCGACCTTGATCAACTTTTTATCTGTGTTTCCATCTAGATCGCTCACCTGAGCACAAGACCCAAAAACACGACTTCATTCTCCATCTGGAGGTTACTACACAGCACTCTGTAGACAGAGGCACTAACTAACTGCCCCCTTCTGTTAGTAATAGAACATCGCTGGTTTTAATCTAGCCAGCCAAGGACTACATTTCCTACCCTCTCTTGCAGCTAATTGTGGCCTTATGACTAGGTTAGGACAAAGGTGTGTGAGAAGTGAGGTGTGCGCCTTCTTGGGCCCCTCTCTAAGGACGGGCTGCTTGCTGTGGTCCTCTGTGTGGAGCGGTGCTGGTGCAGAACCCCAGCTGAAAGTCAGGGATCTGCTCCTGGTCCGGAGCGTCCCTGCCCGGAGGGCTTCAGACACTTCCAGAGAACAGGGGACACTGCTGCGTTCTTCTGAGCGCTTCCTCATTTCTTGGCGGTAAAGAACCCTAGCCGTCCAAAATGCCTGCTTTCATTTTCAGAGAGCCAAAGACTACCTTGAAGACCCAGATCATGAGCATACATATGCCACAGCTGCATCCTGTGTGGCTCCTGGGCACACAGCACCAGCCTCTAGTCCCCAATGGGCTGTGACATGCCAGTGGCATCTGCTGTCACTGGGTCACATCTTCTGCTCTCTTGGGCCTCATTCACTCCTTTTCTGTAGCTTTCAGGGTTTAATTCTATACTAAATGCTATTTCTCACTTTCCCTGCAATATTTTCCTGAGTTCCATGAGCTCTGAGCCCCACGACCCTCACTGGGAACTCCCGAAATAGACGCCAGGTATGTTCAACTGCAGTCAGCAGCTGTAGTTGGACCCCTTAACCAGAAAAAAAAGTTTCTGTGGATTCAGGCACTTGAAACAAAAAGTCATAGTAAGTCTTTGACACTATTTCTTATTCTTTTCATCAATAAGCTACCGTGGCCTTAGACAAGTCACCTCTGAGCCTTGGTCTTCTTAAGTATATAGAGGTAATATATCAGCCATCCTTACTTAGAAGGATTAATAATGTAAATGAAAGCCATGTAACTCATAGAAAAGCATTGTAGCCTATACATAAGCAAGAACAGCAAGCACACCATACCTTTCTTCTTATTCCTGATCGGGGGAAAGAGGCATAAAAGCTAAGAGAGTTAGAGGGAGGGAAAAGGCGAGTGGTCCCAGAACCAAAGGTTGACACAAGAAGGACCATTCTAGGGCCATGTTGGTTAGAGTAGGATCCATCCTGCCTGGTCCAAAGGGCTTGCTTTACCAGCCCCCAGTAGACACATGCAGTCATTCCGAGCGAACCCTGTCCTGTCCGCCACACACTGGGTGCCACCCCGTCAGTGCCTCTGAGAGTCCTGACAGTTGCGCTCCCTTCCTATCTGGTGTGTGTCATGCCGGTTATTCACGGTCAGGGAAAGGTGGAAGGAAACTGCGCTCCCAGTAGCTCTCCACTGGGTGGATTATAAAGGAAGACTGGACCTGGCATGCTTCAGTTTTGATTTTCCACTCACTAAATTTGGAGCAGAGTTCAGAACCGTAGCATCTTAGAGCTGAAAGCGACCTTAGAAGTCATTTCAGTCAACACATTATATATAAGACCCAGATCCCATGGCTATACAGTTCTTTTGTGGAAGAGATGGGAGTAGAACCCACTCCTCAACTCGCAGGTTAGGTTCCTGCCACTAACCAAGTGCTGGTACTAACACAGCGAACAGCATACTAAGCATTAAGTACTTGCATTCCTAGCACAGTATGAGCACTACGCATTACACTGAGACTAGTGGTACTCATACCCAAGTCTGTATAAACTGGCAAAATCGGGTGAGTCTAAAATCTAAAGAGTGATGAGGATACTGAAACGAGCCCCCTGTCCTGGTGCGGAGAGAAGCACCCAGGCTGGGGGTGGTGGGGGGTGGGGGGAGCTGTGATAAAGTGGAGAAAGAACGTGCCCTGTGTGAATGAGGCCTCTTCTCTTCCATGGGAGAAAGGAGGATAGAGTAGGAGAGAAATGGAAAGGTATACAGGACGGGAAAGGCGATAATGGAAGCTGAGGTGGCAGCAGTCCCTGAAAATGACTCTTCCCGCGCTCATAGCATGTTAACTCTCCACACCGAAGTGTGTCCTCACACAGTGGCCAGGCATCTACCTGGATGCAAACCAGACCAGGTAACAACCGTTCCTGGAGCCCCCCCTTCCCGCTGCGGGCTAGGTCAGGAGCCCCTCGGAGGCTCCCCACAACACGCCCCCATGACGGCTTCTGCACAGGCTGCTCCATTCTGTGTCCTGAAGGCAAGGGCTGCACCTTCTTCACCTGTTAACCCTACCTGATGCCTGGATGTGGCGGAAACTCAGCAGCGGACTATGCATGAATACGTGTCTTAGCTCCCATGGCTTCTTCTGCGAGTCCTCTCAGAGCTGCTCCCCCGGCCCCAGGTGGGGGCTGGATGTGCCTGCCCCATGCTCTCGGAGCACCTGTGTGGCATCGAGGACCTTGACCTCCATATCAAAACTACCTGAATACTCACTTGAGTCACTGGCTAGACTGACAACTCTTTGAGCGCAAGGGCCATGTCTTTTATCTCTTTATTCTCAGCACCCATCATCACAATACTTAGAAAGCACAGGAAGGTAATACACACTTGTAGCCTGGATGAGCAAATGAAAGAACGAAACCAAAAGGGCACCAAGAGAAATGCCACCGGAGCAAGCAGTCTTCGTCACAGACAGACCCAAGAGAGCGACCAAGGAAACACAGTGCCTGCCCCAACGCGTGCTCCCTCCCAGGGTCACACAGCTCCAGCCTTTCTCACAGCCCTGCAGCCAGGAGAGGACAAAACCTCCAAATTCAAGAACAAAGAAAGAGGGAACCTTCCTTCCAGTCTTACTGCTAGATGGCACCTGTTGCTAACACAGCAGCTGGTGAGCGTTTTGTTTTATTCATAACAACAACAAAACAATAACAGACAACAATCTCTTACAGGAAGCACCATCACAAGGACAATGAGAAATCATCAGGCTAAACCCACAGCAGAACGAAAAGAAATCCAGAATTTTCGTAAGGAAAGACAAGGAAGGAGCTGCTACAGCCTGAGGGGAAAAAAAACTGGAGTGTTGATTAGCAATTGCTCAGCCTGCACTAAAAGAGAGAAATGAGGAGGGGAGGGGAGGAGAGAAAGAGAAACCGAGATTGGGGGGAGAGGGAGGGAGGCTGTGGAGGAGAGCGAATGTTTTCTTCCTGGGTCTCTGACTCATTTTTAATCTGTCCGTTCCTTTCTCCCTCCCTTTCTACCACCCCCTCAAGAGAGACTTCATTGATGGGGCTGGCCCACAATTTCTTACCTTGCCTCTCATGGTTTCTCTGTAAACGACCAGTCTGCATCCATCTCATCCTTGACTGCGCCCCTCTCCCTCCCCTCCCCAGCCGCCATTGTTAGTGCCTGTACTTTGCTCCGGCTGACCGCAGCTTGTCCAGCACACAACGGACAGTTGCGAAGGGTGAGGGCGGAGCAGAAGCTGGGATCAGGATGCCAGAGGGTGCTCAGTGGGACCCCGGGAGACGGCCGCACGTGCAGAGCACAGAAGCCGTGGCCGCTGCTGGCTGACAGCTGATGGGCCTGAACAGTAACCTGTTGCCTGCTTCCAGCAGGGCGGGCCTCACCAGGTGCAGATGGAGGCAGGCACAGACAAAGCAGCACCACCCCTCCAAACCAAAACAAAACGGAGCCCCAGAGAGGCAGTTTAGCAGAGCCCCAATCTGGCTGGCGTTTGGCTTGACCTGTACATATCGCTTCTGTGGGCTTCCATTTCTACCAAGTGAGAGGGCTGAACTAGACGGAGGGCCTGTGGTCCCTTGACAGTGATACGATTCTGTTTCCACAAAAGCTGTTAGCCATCTAGCTAGGGCCAAGTGTTTCCCTGCTGCTCCTCTGACTCAGGGGACCCCTCCCCAGATGCCTAGCTGCAGGGGGAGATGGTGATACAGGCTCAAGGCCAAAGTTCCCCAGGAGTATGAAAACTGAGAAGAAGAGGCAAATTAAGGACATTCAGAGCCAGTGAGGGTGGAAGTGGCAGGCACTGAGAGACCAGGGGAGTGGGGAGGCGTGGATCAGCCAAACCCTGAAATTAGAGATGATTCATATTTGAATAATGTGGGAGAGATGAACTCAGAGCAGCCAAGAGAAGGGGCTAACTCTGCCCCCGCCCCAACCCAAACCCGGCAGGGGGCAAGAGCCAGTTAGGGCCCTTCTTTTGGAACAGGGAAAAAATAGAAGCAATGAAACATCTTATTCTGAGGATAAGGGAATTAGGGTGTTTGCTTTTCTTCTTAAATGTATGTTACCCTCTTTTAGTGACTTGCTTTAGATACTTTAAACTTGTTTCCTTTTCCTACTGACTTGATTTCCCCAAATCTCCCGGCTGGTGCCCCCAGAGGGGACAAAACTTCATTTTTGGGTGCTATTTTCCGCGTTCTCTCCTGCCCTTCACTGCCCTCTCCTGTCCTCACAGCCTTTCTGATCCCTTGTTCCTTTCCTCCATCACTCAAGCTCCACAGTCATGGTCTCAGAACCGGTCCAAACTACCCAAACCTTCCTTTCCCCGGGCAGGGCCACATGTGAATCTCTCAGTGCTGGTTACCTGCCCCTCAACCCCACAGAATCACCATGCGGGGAGCCCATGTTAGGAACACGAGCCTTTCCAGACCCTAGGAGGGTGGGAGAAAGCTCACCAAAAGGGAGGGGGCACACGGGGGGCCCAGCTAGAGGACGGGGACTCTAACGCTGGGAGAAGCCCTACCTTCTGATTATCTCTGCAAATTATCTTTATCCGGCAGAGGAAGGGTCTTCTGTAACTATGGGACCACTCCCCAGTGGTACCAAGTAAGAGAGCAGAGCCCTAAACTCCACAACCAGCCAAGCCTCCATGCGACTTCCTCCCTCAGCCTGGGCTCCCGTGAGAACGTCCCTGGGTCCCTGGCTTCTCCAGGGAGGGAACTGAGACGCTCCTCCACCCCCACCTCCCGTAAACCAGGTCCCTGAATCCGTCAGTCTCCTCCGAGCTCCTTCGTGCTGTCCAGCCACGCTCTTCCCGGCATTACAAACTCAGGTTAGAGCGGAGGGAGAACCGTTGTGTGGGAGGGGACATGCACGCTCCAAGAACCGTCTCGCGTCTCCAAGGGGTCAGCCGCCCGCATCTGCACGTCTCACTTGTAACCGGGCTTGTCCCCCGCCTCGCCCCCCATCTCCCCCTCCACACACACGCGCGCGGCCCCTCCCCCACTCCCCCCAGCCCGCTAACCAGCTTTACGCACCCCCGGGGGCCATGGGGGTGCGCAGCGGGGGCGAGGAGGCCCCCGCTGCGGGGACAGATGTCAAGTCGCCGGCCTCGGCAGGCAATGCCTCTTACCCGTCAGCCAGAAGAGAGCGATCCACGCCAGCGCGGCCCCGTCCATCTCCCCAACTTCCCATCCAGATGAAGGAGTGAGCGAAGTGGGAAGCGGCGCAAACGTGGGGATCTGTGCGACCAGGCGGCCCAGGCGGCGGCGGAGCTGCGGCGGCGGGTGTCCGCGTCCCTGGGCGCCGCCCCGGGCGGATCGCGCGGACGGGCCCACGCGCGCGGCCGCTCCCGTTCCGGCTCCCGCACGCCAGGCGCCCGGGCGGGCGATTCCCGGCAGCTGACCGGCCGCGCGGGGGAGCCCGGCCTCCGCCTCCCCGCCCCGCAGCGCCGCCCGCCGCCCGCCCCGCGGCCTCCAAAGTTTCTGGGTCACGTGCCTGCCCCCGCGGCCAGCGCCGAGTCACCGAGGGCCCAGGGGGACTCGGGGGACGGATGCGAGCACGGGGCTCCAGCCAGCATGGACTGCCAGAGAGGGACAGCGCGGCCAAGTCGGGGACCTGCAGGAACTTGGGGTAACTTGTCAGCAAGTCCCCTAGGCAAGGGGGTTTGCTTGGGCTGGAGCCCTGCCCCTCTGTCTGGGTCCGTTTCTGACGTGCAAAGAACCAAGATGCCCCACAGAACTGGAAAAGGTGGCCGGGAACCCTGCGCCCCAGCCTCCGCCTGTGAAAAACATTACGAGGTAGGCTAAGGGCACGCAGCCCTTTAGCAGAAAATATGTAAAAGTAGAATGAAATAAACACTTACATCGGCTTACATTTATCCAGCACATGGCTTCTTGGCCTTTTGGCTAAGATGAAGTGCATTTGTTCAACACTCTACAGTTTGTGGGGGGCACTTTCACACGGGTTGATTTCCACGTTTTAAACCGATCTGTGTCATGTGTGTGTGAAAGGAGCCTGTGTGTGTTGAGAGACAACCAAGAAATGTGTATGTCAACCAACAAGCATCTACTAGGTGCTAAGAACCAAGGCTACAAAGATGAGGAAGGCAGACTTCCTGAGGTCAAGGAGCCCCCTTGGGTCCAGGAGAGGGAGGAAGGTCAGACCATTAACGCATGACACATATTGGCAATAAAACAGGGCAGATGTGATGATGGAGATACAGGGAAAGTGCCCTCAGACCTTAGGAATGAATGCATACGTGAAACAGGGATGAGAAAGGACATCAGAAATGGTGACAATTGACTGTGCACAGTGGTCTTTTATGGCTGCCTGACCTCTGAATTCCCTTGATGTTGAGACATTTCAACTATAGAAGCCAAAAAGTCTAGCCGTCTCCTACCACTGCAGCCGGAGTGCAGTCCGGGCCCCGTGTGGCCAGGGACCCTCTCACGCTGAGCTTTCTGCACCTGGAGCAAGTGATGCAAGAAGCAGAGATGGCAGGGAATCAGTTTTGCCACTGAGGGGGCAGCTGTGGAGAAGTCAGGCCACCAGGCTGCACTGATGGGTGACCGTGGCCACGGCCTTGGTTGTGTCCCCTCCCTGGGTCCCAGCCCACTCCCCGCGCCTGGCTCGTCAGCCTCACCCAACATCCTCTCATAAATTCCCTCTTTGCTTCTTTTGGCCGGATTTGATTTCTGATGCTTGCAATTAAGAGCCCTAACTGATACACTGTGTGCGAGACATTTGGAGGACTCTTTCCTTTCACAAACAAAAAGGATAAAATAAAAATATAAAATCAAACTGAGGGAGGCACCTAAAATCTGTGGATTTCCTAGTGGGTTCTAGCATAGTCCTAGATGTTTTACAGGCATTCTCATTTCATCCTAATGAGGAAACTCAGGCCCAGATCTAACTTCCATAAGATCAGGGAGCTCTTGAGGGGCAGAGGTACAATTTGAACTGAGGTCTTTTAACTCCCAAATATACATCCTTTACACCATAAAAGGAGCATCTATTACAGACCAAAGGATGGTTAGGATGGTGTATTGCTATTGTGCTCTGGCATCCCATGCACAAGTGCACAGTGCACCAAACAGCTTGAGTGGCTTTTACCATCTAAGCATGCATAACAATGGTATCTTATGCAAAACTTGGACCTGAGTGCTGAGAAGTGGGAAATGGACTGAGCGGAAGGGACCTGGCTGTGCTCGGGAAGTGGACAGTGAATGCCCACTGAAGAAGTGAGCTGAGGATGCGTGCTTGGAATATGTGCCTACGTGTGCGTGTCCACAAGGGGTCAGAGGACTGGGCAAGAGCTTGTGCCAGAGTGAGGCACAGAACTCAAGGGCCTTGTCCACCACCTGGGAATTTGTTTTCTGCGTAGCACCCTCCCTGCATGGCTGTCTTCTAGCTAGAGGAGTACAGTTGGTCTAGTCTGCCTCTTCCTCAGTGGGCGGGGCCCTGGGCCATCCCTCAGGAGAGGCTAAACTGGACTAAGTCACAGTGCGTGTCCCACCTCATCACACGCGTTACGTGTTATTGCCAACGTGATGGAGGATTAAGAGGAACTTTAAGGCTACACCTAGTGATTCTGAACATGAAGCCTAAGGGATGGAGATAGAAGGAGAGAGAACCGGACAGTGGTACTATTTGGCTGTATTGGTGGTGATGGCAGGGGGACTCCCGAATCCGGGTGCTCTTCAAACTTCTAGTGTCAGAAGCACATTGACGTGTTTGCCTAAACTGCAGATTCCAGGCTCTGCTAAAAACTATGAGGTCAGAAAGTCTGGGCAGGGCCTGGACATCTGCATTTTCACAGCCTTTCCTCAAGGGCCCCTGAAGTACACTGAAGTTTAAGCTGCACCGCCTAGTCCCTTGTTTGTTTTCCTGGGAAGCTGTCGACTAGATGTTTGGAAAGGAGCCATGGATTCGGATCTGGTTAAGCTCCAGTTGTCCACTTATCCTGGCCAAATGGGACTAGACCCCCAGGTAGAGATTAATCTTCATGGCCAAGGGGAGTCCAGATCCCCCAACACTTTAAACTTCATGCTGCGACCAGAGATAAACATGTCAGAACACAGGCCTGGGTGGGACCAAGGCAGGACCCGGGAAGCCACTGTGTGATGGGGGAGGGCGGCGGACTCACGGGCTTCTTCGTCAG